GAAAGAGGAATGAAATAAACATTCCTACAAAAGAGCGGAAGACAGAGGAAGGGAAAAATGAATGGACACATATGAATGGAGTATAGAAAGGGAGATATGCAAGGTTCTAGGCGACCAGGCGCAAATAAGAGCTCTAACATACGAAGTATCGGTAGAGATCCGAGACCTGGACGAAATAACCACCAAAGAAGACAGAGCAGTGGCAATACGATAGCAAATCAAAGAGCTAAATTCCTTTGACGAAAATGCGATCAAAACTATGAGACAGGCGTACGCGGGCACGCAGACGGCAGTCATCAGCCTTCCCGCAGCGGATTCAAAACCTAAGAAAGTGTTTTAGATGCCTGGAATACGGCTATTTGGCGAGGGCATGCACAAGTGAGGATGATCGCAGCAAGTGTTGTGCTAAGTGTGGTGAAAAGAGGCATTTCGTAAAGGAATGTGTTAAAAGCACGTCGTGTGCAGCATGCAAAAGCAGTGGGAAAAAGGAAACCGGGCACCGGATCGGAAGTTGGAAGTGTCCTCTATATCAAGCGGCGTGTAAAACGATAAAATGAAAGTTGTTAAAATCATCCTAAACCATTGCGAGGCTGCTCAAGATCTGCTGAAGCAAACAATCTCCGAGGAAAAGGTAGAGGTGGCGATAGTGTGTGAGCAGTATAAAAACATAAACGCWTCCACATGGATCTCCGACAAGGAAAACGAAGCTGCGATATGGGTCTGTGGGGGCAACGCCTTCCAAGCTAAACCATTGCGAGGCTGCTCAAGATCTGCTGAAGCAAACAATCTCCGAGGAAAAGGTAGAGGTGGCGATAGTGTGTGAGCAGTATAAAAGCATAAACGATTCCACATGGATCTCCGACAAGGAAAACTAAGCTGCGATATGGGGGCAACGCCTTCCAAGATAAGCCGCTCTTGGGCAGATCTTACTATACGAGGGTGAAAATAGGTGGCGTTTATTACGAGATTACGAAAGAATTCTCGATGAACTAGTCCGAGACGCCCTCTATCAATCAGATGAAGAAATTTTCAAACTTACGGTGGATGGGAACCTAGAGGATGCGATCAATATTGACAGACAGGCTGAAAAACTAGTGAAGCGCATAAGGAAAGCCTGTGATGCTGCTATGTGTAGGAAAAGGCACAACATAACCCAAAGGCCCGCATACTGGTGGAACGAGGAGATCAGCACATCAAGAAGCGAATGCCATAAAGCGAGACGCCTCTGCCAAAGAAGCCAAGGTATGCCACACCATACAAAACTACGGGAAAGTTAAAAAAAAAAAACGAAAGGAACTTAAAAAAGCGATTAAAAGAAATAAGTCCTCAAGTTTATAAAATAGTGATGGCAAAAATCAGAGGTGGTAAAAGGCAAACACCAACCTGTCCGATCCTTCTAGAAAAGGTGGTGAAAACGCTTTTCCCTACGCAAGAACCCCAATCGCGTAGAACGATACCAACCGCGATGGAATCTCCAATTGTCGACGAGAAGGAGGTAATGGAAGGGGCCCGTGGTATCTTCTGAGGATAATTAACAGCTATTTGTCTGACAAACTACTACTGTATGATACCAAGACAGGTCCAAAAACCTACTTGGTGAGAGGTGGAGTACCGCAAGGCTCCGTACTAGGCCCATTATTATGGAATATGCTGTATGACGGTGTGCTACGATTACCGCTGCCAAAAGAAGCACAGATAATTGGATATGTGGACGACATCGCCGTAACGATCGTTGCTAAAGAGCTTTTCCAGATACAAAACATATGCAATGAGACCGTGTCAAAAAATTAAAGACTGGCTTACGAGTACTAAGCTGCAGCTTGCCGGTGAAAAAACAGAAGCAGTGCTCATCACGAGCAGGAAAAGGCAAGAAACGGTAACTTTGAACGTCGATGGATATAACGTAGTAACGCAAAATTCACTAAGGTACCTTGGCGTTATGATCGATACGAGGCTCAATTTCAAGGCGAACATTGAAAAGGAATTTGCTAAGGCGGCTAAAGTGACTGCGGTCCTGTCGAGAATCATGGCAAACATTGGTGGCCCAAGTCAAAATAGGAGAGATCTGCTGGCTAAAGTTAGCCAATCAATTCTTATCTACGCAGCTCCGATATGGGGGACAGCCCTTCGTCAAAAAACCTGTGTCAATATGGCCAAATCTGTGTCCAGGTTATGCGCCCTTAGAGTTGCCTGTGCGTTTAGAACGGTGTCGCTCGAGGCGAGTGCTACCATATCTGGTCTTAAACCACCAGATATAATGCCCGCTGAGTTAAGTAGAGTCTACTTTAAAACAAAAGCCATGAATAGGCGCCTAACAGCCGACGAGCGCAAAAAGGAGAGGAAGACAAGCCTCGAGGAGTGGCATAAGCAATGGGATGCGGCAGAAAAAGGAAGATGGATATATAGACTTATTAAGAATGTTCCGGCCTGGATTGACAGACAACACGGGGAGACAGATTTCTACTTAACGCAGTTCTTATCGGGCCACGGCTGTTTCAGGGAATACCTGCACAAATTTGGCCATGATGACGAAAATCGCTGTTCTTTCTGTGGAAATCCTCCAGAAAACGCAGAGCACATCTTTTTCTCTTGCACGAGATATGCAGTGGAAAGAGAGACCATTGAAAAACTAACAAATGAAAGGATGACGCCCGAGAACATAGTTAGTCACATGCTGCGATCACAGCTGGTGTGGGCTAAAATGTAAGAGTGGAGTGCAATAGCGCTCCTAGAACTCAGAATAAAAGAAAGGCAGCGCAGAAGCATAAGACCACATGAGTAACCCTGGAGGTAGATCGTAAAGAGGCAGTTATCACCCAGCTTGGTCCTGCGAAGTAGTGCTTAACGGCGGTCCCTCAGTTCCGAATACAAGCTACAGCAGCCGGAGTTAAGGGTTTAGTACGTAGGCATACTGTTTCTCAAGTCCAGCATAGTTATTTAACACTGTCTGGACGTGGTCCCGAAAGAGGTGTACTCTAGCGAACAATATGAATCGTGCATGCTGCCAGTCTCACTCTGGCAGTATCTTTAGAAGATTCCCCTTCGGAAAAAAAAACGACTCACATGTGCGCGCACTGATCGTTAAAAATCAAACATTTTCGCGAACATGGATCGGTACGTGCACAAGGCCATACATGAGTAAAGCGCTTGCGAACACATACCGATCGAACGCATTTGTGTGTCGTGTATGCCCACTTTAACCTAACAGTTTTCTCACTGCCGTTGGAGAATTGTAAATCAGATGTTTTTGACATTCATCCATAAACATCAAAGTATTTATTAAAGGAAAACATTGTAATATCGTACGTTGTTATAAAAATTGTCTTTTTTTCTAAATTATCTCCGCTCAATGGAAATAATTTGCGAATTGTTTGATTCTAACCGTTTAGCAATGAAACATTTGCTGTATGAACACGTAGCACTAAAAATGTGTAGTCTATATGGAGCAAATTCAACAAGGTCTACTTGGATAAAGGGGCACGATTCTGATTACTTTGGCGAAGCGGTATAAAAAACAGAATTTCCGTATAAATGGGGTATGTCCGGATAGGGAAGCCTCTCCAGAGGTGGAATATCCAAAAATAATATAAAAATTAATTATTTTTTAAAATTTTCACGATTAAAAGTTCAAAAATATGCACTAATAACACAAGGTATTTCTCTATCTTCCATTAAATTTATTCACGTTTTTCACTCTGTATATTTAAATATACACTCTAAACATTGAAATAAGTTCATACTTCAATTTTATTTTGTAACATTTCACCTAAATGTATTAATTTAAAAATCACTTAGCGAACTCGGCGTTGCAAAGGTTATATTGTTTAAAATTGTGAGGAAAACGAGCGTTGCTACATCTTAAACACCAAATATGTAGGATTCTTAAAGATTTTTCTTTTTTTTTTTTTTGCGTGATTATTTTTTCTACATTAATTATAATAAAAATACTTTCTAACATTTTTTGAGTTATAATTGAGTTGTGAAAACTTTTTCCACATATTATACATTTTACATATAGTATGTATATGTATAATATGTGATTTATATTTAATAAACAAATATAATTAAAACTCTATGATAATATAGTATTATAAAATTTATATAATATCATGTCGGGATGACTGAAGTACTTTCGCGTAGTACACCTTTCGGCGTTGGGGGCCTTCGGCCGGGCTTTAAAAAAATAACCCTGGCCGAGCGAATACCCGGGTGGACTGAAGTACTTTCGCGTAGTACATCTTTCTGCGTTAAAAATAAAAAAATATATTGAGTTTTTGTTATAAAGTGGTTAAAGTGGTTATATTTGTAGATTACCATGCACCCATATTGAAGTAAAATTTGAATTTTCGTACTGTACTAATATACTTTACACTTTATTACGTAATATTATTATATAATATTACTTATACATATGTATATACAATATTAATATATAATATTACTAATACATGCATATAATATTACTTATTTGCTTAATAAATTTAAGAAAGAAAATATCCATATGCATGAATAGAGGAATTTTTGCGAAAAAGAGGAATTTCAGCGAATTGCCTTATCATCACATGGCAGCGCTCCATTTCGTCGTAATTTTTGGTAAACAAATGGGGATAAAACGAGTGTAAAATGTAATTTTTAAAATGCAGATTTTTTAGGTAAAAAACSTGCTAAAAGTGTAAGATATGGAGTTATTTACAAGTTTATAGTGTAATTTAATTAATTTGAAGTGAAAAATGTGAATAAAGGGTGTTTAATGTGGTGAAATAGCGTCTTGAAGTGTACGAATTTTGCGAATTTTTTAATTTTAAGGTCGAATATCTCCTAAACTATATTATAGTATATTTATATATATATTTTTTTTTTAATCCTCTTTTCAACGGTACCTTCAGATCGCGGCGCCAAAGAAATCGGAATAGTGCCAAAAAAGGCAAGTACATATATAATTATTGGCACTATAACTTCGTTTAATTATAATATGTATATAATTCAGACTCATGGCCAAATGTTTTGAGACGTCGACTGCCATTTGAATTCAGATACATTTTTTAAAAAAATCTTCCGAACGAAGCGCAAAATTGTGTATTATGTTGAAAGGTTAAGCAATTCAATTAGAGAAACGCATTGCTATTGCTTTATATGCTTTGGCTCTTCTGCAGAATACCGAACGATTGGGAATATGTTCGAAATCGGTAAAAGCACTGTCTGCGCCATTCTAATTGATTTCTGTCATGAAGTCTGTCATTGTTTGTGGCCTTTGTATTTGATGAAATTTTCAATGAACGGGTCAGTGTCAGGAGCTATCGGTAATAAATTAAATTTTTTTCATTGACGTTTTTACATTGGAGCTGACGAAGATGTTGTTGACAACTATAATTACAAAGGCTGGTATTCCACAGTTCTTTTGGCTTTAGTAGATGCAAGGTCAGTTTTTTCATGAAGCTCATTTAAACACCAATGTATTTCTTTAATGTTATAGATGTCGCTTTATATACATCAACGTTGCTAGTCCAGGCCGTTGTAATGACTCTTCAATATTTGAGAGATCATCTTTAAAAAGCGAGTTTGCACGATCTACTATATTTAAAGATATGAGTAGAAAAAAACGTCAGTTAATGTTCCAGTCGTTTTGTTGGGAGACTCTGCGTTCAAATTTGATGAAACCATACCCATTTTGGGTAAACCAACCTTTGGATAAAAAAAAATTCAACTATGTACTCTCGAAATGCCGAAGAGTGGTGGAGAATGCTTTCGGTCATTTAAAGGGAAGGTTTAGACGGGTTGGAAAAGGTTTGGCTAACTACATGGCCAACAGGAAAATTGTCATAAAAGCGTGCTGCGTTTTGCACAATTTTTTAAATGAGGAAAATGATGAAATTAATGAAAAGTGGATTGCAGCACAATAAATCGAAAACGAATCTCGAAGTTGCCAGAAGACGTCTCTAGCATTTGTGGAAATGTCAACCCAAGAGCAGAGGAAATAAGACTAACTTTCGTTTCGTGTTTCGGTGAGTTATTACATTTAACTTTGATATATTATTAAATCTCAACCGATCCATGCTTACATATCTCATAATTCAATTCCAATACAAAAAGCAGATATTTCTATATTTTATATATGTTACATATATATTTTCGTATTTATTTATTCATTTATATATATATATTACATATATATTTTTATTTTCATTTACATATTTAAATTMATTTTCCATTCATTATTTATCTTATGTCTTAAACTAAAACTTAAAAAAAAATTATATATCTATTTTTGGCGACGAAGGAAGTTGATGTAAGCGTCCTCACTTCTTTTGAATCATTTATATATTCTTGAGGAAGAGAAAGACGCTTTTCATCGGCATCTTTCATCGCCTCGACTTTAATAAGTCATCCTTAATTTTCTCCATTATTGTTAACCCTGATTTTTTCTATTTTGTAGCATCGCTTGACGATGGTCGAGCGCTACCACGCGACGTAGAAGGTCCATTGCCTTGGCTTAGGAGCGGCGACTCTCCTTCTACATCGACCTCCATGTAAATTGGTGCAATGCTAACTGAAAATAGAAGAAACAACTTGGTGGACCGCCTCATAATGTTTCCACCGACTAGGGAAGCCACCCAATGGGCCAATTTTATGATTATCTTGCCTAAAAAAAAAAAAATATTTAATGTTATTTGTTTACCACATAATTTATTACTTACCTCTATTCAGTGGACGTATATTCGTGTGCAGCCCAAAAACATTTTAGCAGACATTTCCTCATATATATTCTATGGTTATTTTGTCGTGTTGATCGCAGCTCTGGCATTTTTAGTTGCCTTACCCCTATTATTTCGGCCTCGGCAGCCTCACTCCACATTACTCGCTTCTTTTTTTGAGTTTTTTTCATATTTTTTTTTACTTTGTACTTTGTTCTTTGATTTTTGGTTTTATTTTTTTATCTTATTTTCTGTTAGTTTTAAATACTGTCAGTTTATAGTGTCAAAATCAGCTGCGATTAAGCAAATTTGACCAACAGATGACGAGTTCACACTCGGTCGTCACTGTAAACAGACGTGTTTTTTCTCTGCTCCGTGATTATTTTTATTTATTTTAAATTAATGCCGTGTGTTTGCGGACATAGAGTTGATCGTTTGTCCGATAACGGCAAGTTCTCTGCACCAGCCTCGAATGCTCTCTCTGCTGCGTACCCCATTCTCACAGCTGCGACTTCTTTGGGTACAAATGCTTCTAAAATCGCTTCTCCATCTAATGCTGCTGCTTCTGCTAATAATGTGAGTGTGAATAATGTTGCTCCCGCTATTCCGAAAGCTTTCTCTGGAGCTTCAACTATTGCTAACTCCATTCTCACTTCTACGACTATTGTGGGTACAAATGCTCAGCCATCTATCGTTTCTATTTCTGCTCCAACGGATAACTTGAGTATGGATTATCTCGCTCCCGCTTCACCGAATGCAATCTCTGCCGCTCCGTCGGTTGCTTGCTCTACTCTCTCTATTTCTACTGATAATGTTACAAATACAGCCCCGTCTATCGCTGCCGCTGCTCCCAATGCTGCTAACGATGCCATTACATATGCTGGTGCTGTTGCTAGGAATTTCAGCACTCAATGGAAAGCCATAGACAATACATCAGGGGCTGCTAAATCAGTTCGCCCTTCTGCCGCTGTCAATGCTGCGCAATCAGTCGCCGTTGTTGACTCTGTTAATCTGGGTTCTTCTACTACAATTACKGCTAATGGAAATGCGATGTTAAAAGTGAGCACTAGGAACAAAAAATCCCCAGGTGCTTCTACTGTTGTTGGTGTTAATGCTAATTAATCTGCTTTGTGAGATTAAGTGGGATGATTTACTGTCGGGACTGGATACAGCTAATAGTTTTTCGATTTTCAAGAAATCAATTAAGGAATTTTGTCATTATAATATCCCGCTMMAACATGCACAACCATATAAGTTGCCTTGGTACAATAAGGAACTCAAACGTTTAAAAAATCTTAGAAATAAATACTACAGAAAATTCTCTTCAACTAAATCTCATGTTTCCTTTGTTCAATACCAGCACTACACAAAACTGTTCAATGAATTGGACAATTTTCTCTATAAAAGGTTTATTAATAGTACGGAGTCTTCAATCAAGTCGAACCCTAAGCTCTTTTGGAACTTTGTAAAATCTAGAAGAGCGTGTTCGGCCATTCGCTCTGCTTTAAGCTGGGGTGATAAGTCCGCGTGCACACCTGGCGACATCTCCAACCTGTTTGCTGAATTTTTCCAATCGAATTATGTTCACGACGATGGTATTAGTTCCATTCATTCGGCTAATAACTTCCCATACATAAATTTTGGTACACTGTGTCTTTCACAGGATGATATTGCCAAGGCTATTTCTGATATTAAGTCGTCTCCCAAATTGGATTTGGATGGGCTTAAACCTGTACTTATAAAAAATTGTACCGCCTTGGTATATCCTCTCATGCTTATCTTCAATAAGTCTCTCTCCTCTGGGAATTTTATTGCTGACTGGAAATTGACATGCATTACCCCTATTCTGAAAGTTGGTAGAAAAGACGTAGT